AACAAACTAACGACACATAGGAAAATGCCTGATAAACTTCTCATAATCGGAGACCTCTCTTAACATCCTCCAAAGACACACGCTGCCGGAAAACCTCCGACAGAAACAACAAAAACCGGGACAACAGAACTGAGCGCCAAAAACTAGCGTCAATTCCGCATTATCACAATCTCGCCACCTGGTTGCTTGCAACAAATACGACCTATCCGCTCGAAGGCTTTGTCGTTCGACACAGCTTACGGGGACGCCTTCGCTTCTTCTCCTCTTCTGCTTGGACCTTGAGCTCCACCGTTTTAGAGGGCGATTTCAGCTTTTCTACGATAGCAGAAAGATTATCCATCATCTGAAAAGGTGCATATCAGTAGCACATGAAAGTAGTGACTATCACATAAAATACTCAGAAACAAATACAAAGCCTTTGACTTACAAAAAAAATAATTGGACCAAAAAGAGCATCGAAGAAACACAGCAAAAAGGGGAGGAGATCAGAAAGCATAGAGAATAAAGGATCAAACAAAAAATGAACAAAATCACCAAAAGCCTCCAGAAAACTACCACACAGGGAGAGTAAAGCCTATCAGACGGAAGACTTCATAGACCAACAGTGCAAGAAAGATTGAGAGAAAATGAAAAGTGAGAAAAAAAAGGGAAATCTTCGAGAAATTTGAGAAATGAAACCACAGATCATTAAGCTAAATATGAAACTCACTATTCTCTTCGAATTCACCCCTTCGCTAGCATCTTTGTCTTTCGATGACGACTTCGACTGAGACGAAGATGACGGTGAGGATGAGTCCACGATGAACGGCTTAAACAATGTACATCAAAAGCATGTACATGGAACTTGAAAACTTAGAAAAAAAGTGATTTAGGTAGAAAACAAAATCACAAAAATACCACGTACCGTGAAATCTCTTTTTATTGTGATAGGCTCGTCAAACTTTCGGAACACGTACGGTTGCGTATTGATCGGATATCGATTTTTGCTCGGGATCTTCTCGAAACTTCGTTGATTGCGATCAATTTGGTATTCGCAAAGGTACACATCTTCTTCCTTAAAAGTAAGAGAACTCTGGATGGTGATATTTATTCATTAGCATACGGTTGCTGAACGGTGATCATGGCAGTGTTTGAAAATCAACTCAGCGCTCAAACTATATTAAAGGAATCATTTACGAAAAAGTTCTGCCAAAAAAATACATCAGTTGTGATCACTAGAGAAACGTAAGAAGTTCTACGCAGAAACTCAGTTTTTGAAAAGAAAGAAAGCCATAAAACCACTCTGCGCACGATCGCTGGTGCATCAAGCGGGAGCGCATGGAGATGAGTGCACCTGGGGCAACCAGCAGATGCTTTGGAAGAATGTAATCAAGGCGTTATTTGGAGGGTACAGGTTGGGCCGACATCGTAGTAAGCAAAAAATCACTAAGAAGGAACATAAGCTCAATAAAATAAATAAGACTACGAAAGTGTTGGCTAGTACTGCAGAGCAAAAGTAGGTTGGGTTTGAGAACCATTGCCTATTGCTTTAATCAAGGCTTCAGATGAGAGGAAGACTATGGACGGTGATAAAGGTGGACGCTGACACTGATCCCAAGTTTTTTGTGGTGCCCTCTCTAGGATGTTAGACATTTTGGGGTACGAGTTTGCTCTTGCTTCCAGGTCTACCGCGCAGTTAATCCAGCCGAGTTCGGTGGAGAATTTCTAGTTAACAGTTGTTCACAGACAAGGACTTCGAGAATTACTTTCTGACGGATTTTTGCCTTATTAGTGGGTGCTTTATCGTGCAGAGACATCGAAAGTGATGTGTTCTAGGTTTCTTGTCCATGACAGACATTAGATTTGAGAGTAACCAAGTGGTCCTTTACATCATTTTTTTGTTCATTTTGGCAATACGAATGACGCGAGCAGTCGCAAGGAGGAGGATAGCGAGATTCTGCATTTGATATTTGTCCTGGTGTTAACTGTAACCTTCATATCTCCTTCTTTGCCATCTTAGGAGGCTCTTAAGAATTGAAGCATTCAACCGTTACCCAGGACCGTCTTTGTTACGTTGGAGTGTCGCTCTATATAACGTCCGGAGCCCCTTGTCGGTTCGATCGAGGATCGATTTACCAAGACGCGGTTGTGCTGATTTTGAGAAATTATTTGCTTTCAATAGGAAGATGCCATCGTCTCCTATTACGGGGGGGGGGGGGCAAAAAAAAGTACCTCCCTTCACATTCAAAACGGAATTAATTACACTTGCAAAACCAAACCAAATGAGCCCAACTGAATATTGAAGAGCACATTCTAATCTATCAAAAAGTTACATAACAGCCTTCTACACCGACGACATCAGAAGATTTTCCCACGGAAACATGGTTCACGGTACGAGCTCAACGAGGTCGTCGAGGTATAGACCATTACGACGTCCCTGAAACGCTGGTCAAAAGCGGTCTTGCATAGTCACAGCTAGTGTCTCTAGGAAGCTATTCAGCGAGTTAAAGAAATTATGAAGCA